TTTTTGTACAAAACGACCCCAAACTTTTAACTTCTTTTCTGCAGCTTCTAATGCTATCTTAGCGAGTTCATATTCTCTAAATTCTCTCTTTAAATCTTCTTGTTCCCATTGGTCTAGTTCGTATGGCGAGTCTCTATAACCAGAACATATCTCACGTTCATGTTCTATTTGTTTAACGCACATTTTTCTAACTTCTTCTTCAAACAAAGGTTTAGCATTCTCTACTGTATCTTCAAGTTCTTCTTCATCTAATTTCTCATGAACTTTCTTGTCTATGGAGTCCAGAATTTTTCCAACTGCTATGCAATATTTTGGAGAAGCCCACATTGCTATATAGTTTATAAGTCTTGGGTCTACATACATTCCTCTAACCTGTTTGATTTCATCCGGAATTCCTGCATGAACTGTGTATAAAAAGCAACCCGCGGAATTCCGCGGGTTGGTATATTCTTCACAAAATGCCTTAAAATACTCTTCCCAGGACTTATTTTCCAACAACCTTCTAAAGTCTTTCCTAAACTGCTGACACATATTTGTTGCATTAATGTAACCATCCTTGTCTCTACGTAAGACTTCAATACCGTTATAAGTGCCTTTTGTGAATGTTTCGCCATTAGATTTGTTCGTGAACGTTTTTGCTTCGACTGTCATACTGTTCTTACAATAAAAATAAAAAAATATTTTTTGGTGGGACGTCGGACATTCGTTTGTGGCTTAACCGTCGGACCACAACGATAAAAATCTCGACAAAACATATACGATGAAGTCTCAACAAAACATTTACGATGAAGTCTTAACAAAAAATATACGATGAAATCTATTTCCTGTGTTGTTGTCAAAATGTCATGTTGTCACACTTTTTCAGAGAAGTTAAAATGACCGAGTGACATGGTGACACCTTCAGTAAACATCTCATTTTAACTCACTTTTTTTCTATCTTAAGGAAATTCATGAAAATTCACCTGTTGAACTTTGTATAAAAAGCAACCCGCGGAATTCCGCGGGTTGGTATATTCTTCACAAAATGCTTGTTTTGAGGTCGAGCCACTTTTGGCTCCACCGTATTCTTTCAACCAAAAACTCATTTTTGTCGAATTCAGCACAAAATTCAAGAGTTTTAGACCATGTTAGAAAACATGTTAGAAAACATGTTAGATCTAACCTTCTACCCTAAAATATATTTTTCAATACTTTTTCAGCACTTTCCGTAGTTATATATGAAAGACAATTCGAGATAAAAGTCATAGTACAATGGAATAATATGTTGCACACCGTTTGTTGTGAACCAAACTTGAAAGTCAGAGAAACTGTTACTAGGTGGTTCGTAGAATTTAGAAGCAAAGTCATAAAAGTCCTTACCAATACAAAGAAAACTATTGTTGCTTGAACTGAAACTTGCATGACACATAACATTTTGAGGGTCAAACACATTTCTATAAACTGTCAAATCTGCTGGTGGATGTATAAATTTAAAAGGCCCGTCAGGTGGTAATGGTTCGTTCTGGTTTAGTAACCGAAGAAATTGTGCCCAAGAACGTTTGTCTACTTGCCAAAATAAAAACTGTGTATCTCTTGGAGGGTTAATTTCAATCTTTTGAAATGAAACGGTGGAGTTCATCTTATCGTATTCTAGTTTCAGATAGTATGTTCCGTTTAGTAAAGAGTCGTATTTTTCTTGAAATTCCCAATAGTATTTGTTTATTTGAGTTTGAAAGTCATTTAGAGTTTTCTCAAGACTTTCGTCTGAACGAACCGTAAAGATTCTCATTTCGTCAAATTTGTCTATTAGACCATCATCACCTTTATATTGCCCATGAAAATATACTGCAAACATAAATGCGTTAGTTCTATTTGAAAACAAAACTCTTCTAAATCCTATTGCCTTTGCTTCTGAAGGACTTTGAAGCCAACGAATTGGATAGTCAAACTTGTATGTTCGGGATGAAATTTCTTCATCTGATACAGTCCTACCGGCATTTGTAAAGATATAGTCTAACGGTTTTGTATCTGCTACTTTTGTTCTTTGTTTTTCAACCTGAAACATTTAATATATGTAAAAATATATTGTTTTAAAATGGTATGCCATTTCATATTTCTCATCTAACAAACATGTTGTCTGACTGCTTGACGGTTAGGTTGGTACCATTCGAACTTGACACTTGCAATTCCTTCAATTGCATTCAAAATGTCTGAGTCGGAGTCAACCATTTGTTCTCTCTTTGTAGTCTTGAAAGCGTCAAGAAGTTTTGCGGCTGTTGTGACATTGCCATTTGCATAGTATATATGACCGTCCAAATCTGTTATGGTTAGTCTGAGATTGTATCCTTTCTTATTTCCGTCTTGTATGGCAGCAAGTACACCCATGAAGCCTTCTTTGTTCTTTCCTTCGTCAAAGTTTACTGTAAAGGTTCGACCAGATGTAATTTGGCTTCTAACTTCACGGTACTTCTCATATGCATATCTTGTTCTTTCCATGGGAGCATGACCATCCTCTGCACTACCTTTTTTCCTTCTCAAAGGATGCAATTGTTTGTCATGTTTCCAGTAGAATCTGGCAAAGCCGTCGTGTCCTTCAACTTGAGGCTCACTAACATTGAAAGGCAAGTTCATAAGACGTTCTTCTTCTAACCTCTCTAGTCTGTTTGGATAATTGGCACGTGCTGTTTCTAAGTCCATTTCGTAACGAAGACCAGACAATTTGTCATAGACTTTTATGGGTCTTCCCTTCCTATATTTAAACTTTTTCGAAACTTTCCAACCATATCTTTGCAACTCTGCTTTTATTCTAGCAGACCTTCTGTCCATTCTATACGGGGGCATTTCTATAAAAATAAAAAAATGTTTTCCTTTTACTTTACATAACCTCCTGCTACCAGAAGTCTTTGACGCCAACCCATACCAGCTAATGAAGGTTGACTTGTTTTAGTCTCCAAACTAAACTTTGTTTTTGGTTTATCTTCAGTTTTTGGTTTTTCTTCTTCTATCGGTTTTTCGTCACTTTTCGGTTCCTCTGACTTTACCTCACTTGCAGGTATGGTTGTGTCGTCAACATCTTCATAAATATCATATGCCATTTGTTTTTGTTTTCCTTTCAACTTTTTGTGTTTGTTGTAAAGTTTAGAATATTTTGACTCTAAGTCAATGAGATGTTCTATAATGAACTGTTTGTCAGTGAAGTATACTTTCCCATCTGTTGTCTCGAAAGCTCCTTCAGACTTCAATATTTTATTTGTGAGAGTCTGTTTCTTTTTTGAGATACTAGCCGTTCCATTTCTATGAAAAGTGACTTTATAGTTAGGGTTTGTATTTCCAGACCTGGCACTTTCTATTATTGAATTTTTCTCTTCATCTGTAAGTTCTTTGACAGGTTTTGACAATGGTTCTGAACTTTTTGTTTGTGGTGTCAAATCTACCGTTTCAACTTCTTCGGTCATTTCATCTCAGTAAAAAATTTTAGTTTGGTTTGTTTTCAACTGGTTGTTGTTGTTTTTTAAGTCGGTCTAAAACTTCCTGAGGTATAGGAAGAACTTGACAAACACGTTGTGTAACTGCTGGAAGTCGACAAATCCATCTTGAACCCATTTGTCTCAATGCTGTATTGTTCATTTCATCTCAGTAAAAAACTTTACATTCCCCAAGTTTGAGGTGGTTGCGGTTGGTTATTGTTTACCCACTGTTGTGCATGGTTATATCCTCTGTTAAAGAATCTTTCACCTTGGTCCATATAGTGTCCTGCTTGGTTATAGTAGTCATTTGCTTTGTTATAATAGTTTCCTGCTTGTCTTCCTACATTGTCCATCCATCCTTGAACTTTTCCTCTTGTTTCAGGATTTGGAATAAGATTTGCTGCATCTCGTGCTACATCCCAACCTTTCTGTACAGTTTGTATAATAGGTTGTGCTTTCTCTTTAAGTATACCTAATGTACTCAAAATCTTCCTTCCAACTCCAAATACACCTCTGGCTATTGTTCCCACTGCGGGTAAAAATCTGGATGCAACTCCTGCTAATGCGCCAAATAAACCCATTTCTTATGGGTTAAAAAATGACGAATCCAAACAAGGACCCCTATGTTTCTAAAGCGACAAAGAAAGCACTCATGATAAAAATCTTTAGTTCAACACCAAATGCTTGGTTTATGGATATCTTGGAAAACATTCCGAGAGTTAGAACAGATGGACCACCATACTGGCTAATATTTGTCGGTCAAAACACAAGATACTGTGAAGCCATACCATTACAGTCCAAAAATATTTTAGATGTGAAAACTGCTTTGACAATATTCGTTGACAAATACCATCCAACAAAACTGACATCTGACTGTGAAAGTTCTTTCAAATCAGATGATATTAAAAACTATCTGCGTTCAAAAAATGTAAACCAATATTTCATTGTCGACCAAAACCATTCTGCTCTTGGTGTCATTGACAGTTGTATAAAAATCTTAAGAGACTTAAACCAACCACAAGGTGGTGAAGCAAATGAAATGTCATATGACGACAAATATAGACACTTCTCCATGGCAAAGATGAGACAAGTTTTAAATATTTACAATAGCCGTAAACAAAAAGGTTTGGGAAACCATTCCCCCGAAGAAATGAAAAACAACCCTGACTTAGAGAAAGACTATATATTTAATAATTTAGTCAAAAGAGACAAACAAGAAAGAATGCCGGGCTTCAAACTTCAGAAAGGTGACAAAGTAAAAATAGAAATACCTAAACGCGACCCATATGAAAATACTATTGACTATGACAACAATGGGAACCCGACAGGTACTCACATTCGTGTTCGTAAAAATAGAAGAAAGTATACAAGAGAATATTATGAAGTTTTAGGCAAACATGGCAAAATGTACACACTGCAAGCAGAAGATAAAACTACTATTGTCAGACCTCGTTTCAAACTTGTCAAAGTTCAAGGTGGTATACTTTCAAAGACAGTTCCTAACAAATATAAGACAACTCCTGACGAATATGCTAAAGAAGTTGAAAATGACGACTAAGCATTTCTATACCATGCGTAAACTGTCATGTAAGGTGGCATGTATTCTTTACTTTGTCCCGTTGTTTGCGTATATCCTGAAACGCGATGTGTATGGTTTCCATCTCCCTGAGTGTTACCCCAGAAACAATTTATAGCAAACTGAACGTCGTCTTTAACATCATATCCTTTACCTTTTTTCATTGCTGACCAATCCCAAAATTTATGCTTATGCCAACCTGCTTGAGATGTACTTAAATCTATGTAGTGACTGTGCGCAGGTAAATTTTCACCTGAAATCGTTTTACTTCCACCTGTTTCCTTTGAAGAGTTTGCACAATACAAAAACCTGTCGACTATTTGAGTCCAAGTTCCAAAACCAAGTACTACTTCTGGTCTGGTAGAGTTCATTGACGTATAAATAGAGCCTATAGGATATAATGTTTGAAGCATTTCTGTCTTTAATGTTTGAAGCTCTGTTTTGTCTGCTTTCTTGTCATATAAATCTTGAGCAGTGAATTTAATATTATGTTCATCCTTCATGACATAAACATCTTTACATCTAATGTTTCTCATCGTCGTTATGTCGTCATCCGATGTTAAACCTTGTGGAAAGTTAGGAGGTTTACAATATATTGCATCCCCACCAGTTTCTTCAACCGTTCCTTCAATACTTTCTATAGCAACAGTTGTAAAACTTGTATGTGTATGAGTCTTATTTGCTTTCTTCTCTAACTCATCGTTAACATAAGTTTTATCTGCTTTAAGGTCTAAACATCCTGAAACCCATCCTGTATCAGCTTTAACTTTAAAAGTCTTCGATGTCCATTCATGGTACCAGTCAACCCTTTCTTTCATTTCGTTATCTTTTTCATCCACATATTCCTTATCCGCTTTCTTCTCTAACTTACTAGCCACATATTCCTTATCTGCTTTCTTTTCAAGGCTAACGTTTAAGTCTGTTATTTCAGATATAGAATGTGTATGAGTCTTTTTAGAATATTCGTTTTCAGCTCTTGTCACTTCACTTGACATTTTATTGTCAACATATGTTTTGTCTGCTAGTTCAGGATGAGTATGTTCTTTTGTTGCATAAGCATTGTTAGCTCTTTCTTCTTCTTTTGCTATTGCATCGTCTACATATTCTTTGTCAGCTTTGTTGTCAACATCTGTTTTCAAAAGAAGTTCATTTATAGGTTTCTCGTTTAAAGTTCCTTTTGTTGGATTTATACAGACAGTATTGTTCTTCTTGTCTTGAAACAGAAACTCATCTGTCATTGGGTTTAATGTCAGTTTTAAGTTTCCTTCTTTCAATGACTCAGATATCTTAGAATAGTTTGAAAAGTTTGTTGTGTTCTTATTTAGAGCTTGCATAATGAGTTGTCGGTTGTGTTGTATTTCTCTCATAGACGCTGTTTCATTTGACATTTTTATTCTAGATAAAATATGCTTCCAATAGAAAAAGAAAATTCAAGAGTTGCTACAACTAAACCATTAGATGAACTTTTTACGAATGTCGGTCAAAAGTTTGAGACAGAGACCGTAAAGCATGAAGGCTATCGTTTTGACTACCCATTAAGATGGCTAAGAGACCCATCTGTCACAAAAGCTATTGGCTTTCGTAGAATGAAGTTTGTGTCTGTAGAAGATAAAAGTTTTCCATTTATTGTAAGGTTTCATATAGATTATATATCTGAAGGGAAACGAAAAATGTGGGAAGAAATTGAGCTAATACAAGTTGACCTTTCATCTTCTCTACAGACTGCGTTAAAAAATATAGAAGATAAAATAAATTCATGTTATGCAAAATATGCTGATGAATATGCAAATACCGAGAGCACACTTTATGTGAGAATTGTATATGACAAACAAAATTCACAAGTGTCATTTCAAATCTACGAAGACAATCCAAAGAAAGACGAACAAATATATACAGAATTCACTGCAATGTCATGGTATTATTTGCAAAGAATGTTAAATCAGAAAGTCGAACTTCCTTTAGCAAATATTTACAGTCGATATGCAAGAGATGAACCATATTTATTTAAAGATGTTTTCGACCCAGCTGCTATTATTGTTCATGCTTCATTTTCTGGCGCCCAAAACTCTTTCTTATGCTTGGCAAATGACTTTTACGAAAAACCTACAAAGTTATACGAACCACCAAGTGGAAGTATTTCAGACTTTCAAGTATGGTTTACTACAGATGGAAGAAAAAGAATAATTCCATTATACCATGCGTTTTACTTAGAACTTAGTTTCATATACAACTACTATCGAACGGTAAAAATATAATTTTTTAATACGGTTGAGGTGTTGGATTTGGTTGCCAACTAGACTGTGGTGCAGGTTCAGGCTGTTGTATAACAGGAGCTTGTTCTTCTGGTTCAGGGTCTTTAGGTATAATACCAACAAACTGACCTACTCTTTTACCAATATTTTTGACACCGTTCCAAATTCCTCTTCCTACGGTTTTTATTCCATTCCATATACCTCTTCCAACATTTCGAAAGAAGTTTCCTATCTTACTGAAGAAACCCATTTTACTATATGTAAAAATCTAATGTCCGCCTAGTCTCTTACGTTTCCTGTTGAGTTCCATAGCATTCTTTAACTGGAGCTCATACATTCTGTTTCTCCTCTGGTAGAAAACATATTCTGGGTCAACTCCTGTGTTCGCGTCATCTGCATAAAGTTGTTTATATCCCACTTCAGGGTTTGTATAAAAACTCTTTCCATCTCATATTTGCATACCATGGTGGCAAACCTAACGCAGCGTCATTTGACATGGCAGTTTGCATTTGTACATCTGTTGGCACTTGACCATAGTTTGCCATTTGCAGTTTGTATTCTAACTTCATTTGGAATATTCTCTGGGTTTGGTTGTCCAGGTTGCTGTGCATTCGCTAAGTTCTGTGCGTCCATTTAATATTAGATAAAAATATCTCTTACGAGTACATATGCTGAACATTTGCAGGCATTGGTTCATCTTCATATTCTCTGTACTTTTCTGCCACGTCAAATAAATAAATGACACAATGGAAAAAACCTAAAACAAGTAGTCCTATTTCAAACCACTTTACTTACTAGTAAAATTTCTTTTGTTATGACACTTTCTCCGGTTTTATTAGGACTCCTCTCATATTCTATCTTGTCATATCTAAACTCATAGTCATGTATGTCCTCTACCATCTCATAACGGTTTCCAAACCACTTTTATCGGATGTAAAGTAAAAGCATGGATGGTTATGTAAAACGTCTAAAGTTTCTAAAGAGTCTCTCAAAGTCCAGTCTACTTGGTATTGAAAATCCCATGTGTTATAGAACGGCGGGTCCACTATAAAGAAAACATTTTCCTTGTCTTTATATTTTTCATACAAATCTGTCCAATGACATCTCACAAACTCTATACCCTCAATATATTTTTCTATGTCCTCTTTGAAAACATTTGTATAGTTAAGATATAAAACTTTTGACATAAGTGTTTCAATGTCATGAACTCTTATAGAACCACTATATAATAGTCTAGCAGATATACTATCCCAGTCTATATATTCTGCTTTTTTCAAAACCTCTCTCACAATATTTTCTTATCTAATGGTATACGTTCCATCTTACCTATAGGTATCTTTTCTTTTAACTCTTTCAATATATTGTTTGTGTCTGGTATATGTTTGAGACGGTCCATATAGTTGTCGAAGTCATTGCATATAATCTTTGAGTCTGGGAATATTGTATGGCACAAATGGGATATATAGAAACTTCCACCGAACAAATCTACAAATGTTAGACCATTCGGTAGTTTCTTAAGTTCTCTCAATAGAATATCTTTACATCTACTCTTATTTCCAAAGAAGGGTAACGGTGGTTTTGTAAAATTCATTTTATATATATAATAAAAATGTTTTTTCCTGAAAAGTGACAGAAAAGTGACAAAGCATTTACGAAGAAGTCATGACAAAACATTTACGAAGAAATCATGAGTTTTCTACCCTCTCGAAAATCATGAAATTTACACCAAAAATATATTTTATGTTAGAATGTTAGATCTAACATGTTTTCTAACATGTTTTCTAACATCGTAGAAAACTCTTGAAAATCATGAAATTTACACCAAAAAATAATGTTTATGTTAGAATGTTAGATCTAACCTTCTACCCTAAATTATATTTTTGGGTCCTTTACGCTCATTACGAAGAAGTCTTGACAAAACATTTACGATGAAGAAGTTTCGACAAAACATTTACGAAGAAATCATGAGTTTTCTACGATGTTAGAAAACATGTTAGAAAACGTGTTAGATCTAACATTCTAACATAAACATTATTTTTGGGTCATTTACGCTCATTACGAAGAAGTCTTGACAAAACATTTACGTTCATGTTTGACAAAACATTTACGAAGAAGTCTTGACAAAACATTTACGATGAAGTCTTGACAAAACATTTACGATGAAATTCATGACAAAACATTTACGAAGAAGTCTTGACAAAACATTTACGATGAAATCATGAGTTTTCTACGATGTTAGAAAACATGTTAGAAAACGTGTTAGATCTAACATTCTAACATAAACATTATTTTTGGGTCATTTACGCTCATTACGAAGAAGTCTTGACAAAACATTTACGAAGAAGTCTTGACAAAACATTTACGAAGAAGTCTTGACAAAACATTTACGATGAAATCATGACAAAACATTTACGATGAAATCATGACAAAACATTTACGATGAAATCATGACAAAAAAGTCAACGGCTGGTCGGCTGGGGTTCGGTCCTCCTCTTGGGTCTTGGGAAAAATTTCTTATGGGCTGGAAGCCCTCCGAATAAAAACTTCATTTATACTAAACATCTTCAGGGCTAGAAGGCACGAAGTGCCTGGAAGCCCCACTACCTTTTTTTTTTTTTTTTTTTTTTTTTTTTTCATATGGTTTTATGATAGATAAGCATTATATTCCCACTCATTATATTCGTAAATTTTGAGGTTTATCCTTCGCTTTTAAGATCATTGAATTTGATTTTTATATAAAATAGTTATATATTAGAAAATATTATGAGTTTATGTGATATATTTTTCAGAAGATTTCATTCTATATGCCTATGAAAAGTACTCTCAAAACTAACTTTTTCCTAATTATAATTAAAACTAGAATATTGTATTATGCTTAGTATTATTTCATTTTTCTCATTCAATTTAGAATTTACAAATGTCAAAAAATTGAGAGCTGTCACTTTTGATGAATTTCTGTTTATTACACTACTCATAATAAAAAATGAAAAGCCAAATTCTCTCAAAAAGTTAAGTAGGACCAATTTTTTATAAAAAAATCCAATTCCATTATGAATGTTAATTAATTTATATAATTATTGAATAAAAAATTTTCTTTGAGATTATGAAAAGTTCTTTGAAAAGTTATTTTTTCTCATTTTTAAATATTGTATTAGCCTATTTATTTATAATCCAAATTAAATAACTTTAAATTGTAATAAACAGAAATTCATCAAAAGTGACAGCTCTCAATTTTTTGACATTTGTAAATTCTAAATTGAATGAGAAAAATGAAATAATACTAAGCATAATACAATATTCTAGTTTTAATTATAATTAGGAAAAAGTTAGTTTTGAGAGTACTTTTCATAGGCATATAGAATGAAATCTTCTGAAAAATAATATCACATAAACTCATATTATTTTCTAATATATAACTATTTTATATAAAAATCAAATTCAATGATCTTAAAAGCGAAGGATAAACCTCAAAATTTACGAATATAATGAGTGGGAATATAATGCTTATCTATCATAAAACCATATGAAATATCAATTTTTGCTTTACGCCTATTCCCACTCATTATATTCGTAAATTTTGAGGTTTATCCTTCGCTTTTAAGATCATTGAATTTGATTTTTATATAAAATAGTTATATATTAGAAAATAATATGAGTTTATGTGATATTATTTTTTCAGAAGATTTCATTCTATATGCCTATGAAAAGTACTCTCAAAACTAACTTTTTCCTAATTATAATTA